GTAACAACAGAGTTTCCTGTTTAATTTACGGCAAGGTAAGACTTAGTTAAGACTGGCTGTATGCGATACATCTACTCTAGGCGCACAAAATATATCTGATAGTCATTATGCCAATATGCTTATGTATACACCCTTCTATTGTAACAACTAGCGATACTGCAGTTTTGCAGGTTTGAGTAGGAACTGTCAACAAGATAACAAAAATCCTAAATGTCCATGATATTCTTACTGTGAACATTTTGTTGGCCCACTTGTGTCCTACGCGCATCATATTTTATATCAGAAAAGACGTTATGTCGTTTATGCTTGATTTTTGTTCGTCTATAAATACATTATATGGCTGGTTTTTGTTCATTGGTTCTATGTTATTCTGTGAAATTGGTTCAAGTTATTTTTATTGATGTGTGAAAGTTGCAATGAAAGTTGTTTGCTAATGCTAAACCATGTGTTATACACGAGAAGACAAATATTCCTAGGTGCTTCAGTTGTATATAATTTACATTTTAGATCTCAGATAAATATTAGGCACAACATAACATCGCTGACATCGAGCACGGTTGCTTGTTTTCGCCTTCGCTCTACGACCAACAAAAGCTCAACGAAGAGTAGGATTGCTAGTGGTATAAAGTGGACGCGGAAAGTTTTTTGGAAGATATTTCCAGCCTCCACAGCCCTCATTTACGGCACCGTATTGCCCCTTTTGGTTCGTAGGTGACGCCTAAAGAAACGGCACTTGTAAACAATCCAGAAAGATTCATGAACTATTTCCGGCAAAGTGCGCAGCGAAAACAGATCTGCAAGACCCTCTGTTCCTTTTTGCTTCCTCAGATATGGCTGCGTCTTATATTGTGGGGGTTGATTGAGTCAAATTGAATGCCATTAGCGTTGGGACATCATTTACGGACCAATTGGCGACGGTTGCGGCTACAGCAGGCCACACTTTCTCGTTCGCCTACGTCCTGCGATCCCTGTCTCAGTCTTTATTGTCAATCCTGTACAATACGATGCCAGAAGTGCACTTGAGGTCAAAAGCAATTGGTTGCAGAAGCCAAACGATTCGTTTGCAGGCAAATAGTCGTCATGGTAGAAGCTGGCTCGAAATCCAGAGTTCGATAGACGAACACGCATGGTCGCAGCTATTCGGCCGGCGCTGCAATTTGTCAGCAAGTCGTCATAGGCGGATTAGGCAGGAACTCTGTTGTTCATTGGCTAAGTTGGCTAGCTTGGCCATGTAATCACGTGCTTAAGGGTATTTGTTTGTGATACGTTGGAGATCAGTTAACCTCAACTACTCGCAACAGTAGCATTGCACTGTTCTGGCCACTGCATCGTTCAGCTAATAGCATTTGTTTTTTGTATTGGTTTTTCCTTTCTCTCGGTTGCCAGAGAGGATCGAAATGGCGATGGGTGCGCTTTTGCAGTATGGATCTCCTTGGTCTAACATTGTCCATGTAGATGCCTTCATATGGGTTTACATTTCACAATATATTTCACAGTGTCCGCAAACCCCTACATTAATACGGCCTTCAATGTTTTGCTCATCTTTAAAAGGAGCTCCTTTGATATACTATTTTCGTATTCTAAAAGTTATGTAGCACCAAAATATTTGGTACTGAATTATAATAAATAATAATAAACATGCGTGCTAATAATATAACCACATAGTATTTTGTGTACAGTAACTATTGTACATCAGAACAATCAAACGTCGTTCCATGTTAGTAACGATAGCTATTAACTACGTAAATTATAGTAATTATAAAATTCTATACTACTTTATGTATGGCAAACATTGTAGGCTGCGATCGCGAGAAGAGACCCCATATCCAAAAGGAATCGCCTGTCTCTTGAATAGCAACGGTCATTTCTTTCTCTCTTTTCCTCGATTGACCTTTTTTTCTATAGGGGACGTGCATTAACAGCAAGGATTTGGGGGCTGACATCTGCCTCCGACGTTCGTCTATTCGTTGACACGGTTACTCATTGCGGTAGGATCATTTTCCAGTAAAATAAATAAATATGGTTGTTAGGTGGAAAGCGTTGCAGGGCTGCATAAGCGCGCGATGAGGTAGAATAACATTGGGCGCTCAGCGTAGGTTGGTGGTCAGTCTTGGTGGAGACACCTTGCCAGTGATGCCTATCATAATGAAGGATATATGCTGTAATCATACGAGAAATGGCAGATTGTTTCTACGATCAAATTCTAGACCCTTAGCTCCTCATATCGAAGAATTTCTAAAATGCATGGGAAGAGGATGGCCAGCAGGCCATTATAAAAGATCGTACAACGACATGAAAGAAGCGGGGTGCGAAAGTTTTCTCAGTATTTCATTTTTGTGCTTCTTTTTGCAGCTACAGTACAGATAAGGCTCGAACGGTCATTACGTAAAGGTAACATCCGTACAGCCTAACTATTCATTGCAGGTTTGCAATCGTAAGCTCACTCATCCGAGCCATAGTGATGGTAGCATAACTACCTAGTTTTCATTTAGTTCTCATATATTTAAATTATAATATTTGCTACCCCCAAAGTAATGTTCGGCACGCGATACAAAATTAATTTATATGCATGGAAAATTGTTCAGATATTTATACACGATTATAGTATCAATCTTTAAATATTTTTCGAAAAATCTATGCCATATATTATCATTAACGTAAATAAGATAGCCGCCAGAAGGAGCTTTCTATAACCAGAAATGTTTACAGGAAAAAAGATATATAAATAAATTCTCGGGATTAACAGTCAGAGTTCACGAAAAGAACTCGCAATATAAGAATCGTTGAATTGTGGAAATAGGAAACTATAGCTCCTATTAATCTTAAAAAAGTAAAATTAAAAATTTATTTGTTTTTCTCGGAGAATCGTACACGCGGCATGTCGATACACAATTTAAAGCGCCAGATTCATACATTTGAATATTCTAAGATCTTGTCATTAAATATCTGACTGCTCCAATCAAAGACTGCGGCATTAAGCTTAGCTTTAAAGCCAGACAGCTTGAGGAGCAAAAGGGTCCTATCATTTTGTTTAGAATAGGGAACTAAGGGATCTTCTGCTGTGTTCAACCCCGCTAGAAATGAACTTATCTTTCTATTTCTTACTCTCCTATCTATATATAGCCTACTGACGCAGCGTGCCATTATATTATCTGTATGCTGAAAACGAATTTCAAGGCGTGTCGGTCTTACAGAGTAGAAAAAAAAGGAAGAAGAAGAAAAACGCAACAGGAAGCCAGCCTATTTGCTTTCTAGCAACGGATTTGCCCATTTATTTAGCGTTTGAAAGAACTTTCCAGCTTCCTCCGCTCCGACGTCGTTCGCAGGCTTCACCCTGGTCAGAGAAGCTTTTTAGAGTCTAATGACACCGTAATTATACCCATTATGGGTGGTGCTATATGGTGAAGGCATACATATACTTAAACCTGGCACCTAACAGGAACTCGAGAATAAGTCGAGACCAAGTCGGTTACTATCTATGCGGCGATCTTTACTATGAGTTCACCAAACGTACATATATTTCTATATATAAACGCTCCTATGCATATGCTAAATATCGCTATATTTCCTGAACGAAGGGTTGAAAATGAGAGAATTGATTAAGAGTTCTTCGTGTGTTTTACATAACCGATGTCGTCAACTTGTTATTACTGATGGAAGTGAACGGACAGAACAACTAAGGATAACAATCAAATCCCGATCTGAGCTGATTTCAAACTTATATACAATGGTCTTAGACAAATTGGTTGCGATACTGAAGTATGGCACAAATACGTTGCTACAGTCTTCACATACGGCTTGTCATATGTGAATTCTTTGGCAACGTACTCATTCAACACCACTCTTCTGGGGCAGACTACAATATGATTTTTGCTATTACGTTAGAGTTCAGTGCGTGAAGGAACTGTGTAGTATCACTGAATTGAGCACCATCTCAAAGTAACTAGGATATCTCCTAATAAAATTTAGTATACGATGTTTTGGATTATTTTGCTGAAAAGATTTTCTGACAAGTTCTTCCTTCTAACGGTGGTATAACATGCTGGATATTAAAGCAAGTTAGGATCATCTTGTTTACGAACGTTTCAAAATATCGATACGAGTCTGCTTTCTAAAATATCTCACTAGTATATAGTGTTTTTTTCCCGTAATCGGTACGGTCGAAAATTGCTGCCGTTCATAACTGAGGTTTTCACTGATTCCGAAATCTATAATTATTAGGTAGACTAAACACTTGTTTCGAGATAGGCTGTACAACTCATTCGCATAAATACATTTAACTCTCTCAACGAATCTTGCCCATTCAATAACTGTACTGCTACCAACTTCCACCATGACAAACTGCAGCAGCCATCGATTTTTCTCATTTTTATCTGCTTGTTTTCCTGTTTCTTTCAGAAATGTGGAGTTTGTTTCTACTACGACTACAGCACATAGTGTCTTGACATGGCCGCTTTATACGTCTGTTCAAATTCATTGTGAACCTGGTTTTTAGTTACGTCATTCAATCAAGGCCTGACTAACTGGACGATAGCATCTTTTCATGAGATTCGGGGACCGTCTCAGTTGAGCACTTTACTCAAACACTATTTGTCCCGGTTATGAAATTACCGCTTTTACCAAACTGACGTCTATCGCAGTCTTAGTGTTAGAATCCTATTCGATCGTATCATTTATAGCTAGGAGTGCATCAGATATAGAATACGTGTAAATGGGTTTGGTAAAGAAAAAGTTCGGATAGCCAAAATACCGACCACCAACATAGTTGTCCCTTGACTCCAAAAAATATTAGCCCGTTCTGATACTTCAAAGGGGATAAAGGTGACGCATAACAGACGAGTGATCTGACAATATAATATTTTTTCACAGAGCAATCTATAAAAAGTTTCCACCCGCGACGGAATAATGTCTTCTAATTAGACAAACGGGAAAATTACTGTATTTTTTTTGTAGAATGTCGCTCTTTCTGCTAATTAAACGTATCTACAGGTATCCTCTGAAGCACAGATGTGTTTACGAATGTCATACATTTAACCTAAACGTGAAACAAAAAGGCCAAAGTTAAATAATTTCGCTTTTTCAATGGCGTGTGTGAACACATTAGCCGCTTACAGTCTATGTGTTGTACATTATACCTAACATCTATTGAAATTACAACACGTATCAGTTCAACGGTTTATAATCACTAAGTTTATTCCATTCGGTCATACTATACCTGGCCTCGTTTCTTTCGTTTTCTTGTGTCAAGTCTTCTTTCGTGTCGTTTAATAATTGCTTCTGCTAGTTCCACCACCTTGTTAAGTCGACTATGACCCGTCAGTATTTTGCTAGTTCCTTAATGTTTACCTGTTTACATCACTTGCCGGCGTTCAACCCACTCTTGTCTGTTCCCCCTTGCTGAGCTTTCTTCGCACGGAAATCGTCCATTCATTCCTCGTAAGTATCTGTTATACCTAGTAGACATATCAATTCGTACTATTCGATTAATTCTATCTTCTTCATCAGTATCTGAAGAGGCCCAGATCATTCGTACATAAGCTTAACGCAGACTGGCTCACCGTGAAGCTTCGATAGCGAAGTTTACAGGTGCGTTGTCTGTGGTAAGTTTTGACATATCGTATATTGGCTCTTCAAATCAATGCATTTCACTTTCTTCTCCTATTCATGACCGCCTGTTGCGTACTGCCAGTATTAAAGTAACTTTGCTTCCTTCTTTACCATATTATTTGTTATTACTAGCTGTCATTATCTCTATATTAATGTCATCATTCATCGTTGAGTCATGACTATTAACACTACGCATGTACAAACACCTCGACATCTCATTGCAACATCTGTTTTGCTTTCTTTCTTGTGGTGGTCATACAACTCCTTGTTTTTAGGAGCCGCTTCCCATTTGAAGCCCGGCCGCATATTTACCTCGTTGAGCGTATACCTAGCAGCTGTCACACTACCTAATATAGTACAGTCATTGGGCGTTCATTCGTTAATCCATACATGAATTTCACTAGTCATCTATATTATTATAGTCATTCATTTTGTATATATATTTACATCCATCGGTTCATGTTGGGATTCGTTTCCCATTCTATTCGTGTCAAACTGGGTAGGATGGGGGTCAGTGGTGTCAAGCGCATTGCTCACGAAATCCCCGGAGTTCATTTCAGAAAATTGTGGGTGCGGTCAGTATCCTCAGCAAAAAGCCGAAGGGACAACTTTGTCATAAGAGGCCCAAACCAAAATGGTGACAAGATTAAATATATGTTCCGCTTTGATACGTCGCGTTAGACAGTTAAGGGTATTCGTTGATTCGAGCCAGAACGAAAGCGTCTAAGGCTCGGTCGAAACACTCGGAAAGCCATCGCCTTCCACCAATCAAATATATTCCATCATCGCCGTTTGTTACTGACAGCCAAAGTTTAAAGGTGATTAAATTTAGAGATTTGCGGTAACACGACGGTTATAATATAGGGCCCTCAGGCACCACAACCCAACATCTGTTTTTACTTTCTCCTCTCCTGTTACGTCGTCCACTTTTTCCTCTGCGTCTTGTACTGTTGGTTCGTCCAGTTTTAGCTTTTCATTTATCCTATCCCGTAACAGGCTCTCTGTCTAACTTAAACCTATCAAAGATCGCATTGACTCTGTACGGCAACTGAATAGCAGTTCGACGATAGATACGATCAGTCGTCCGAAGGAATATAGGCATGCATTGTAGATGACGACGATCTCGTCCTAAATGGCCGTTCTGCTCATTGTCCACGTTTAATCAGTGTTGTATATTTATACTAGAAGAAAGATGGGAATACAATCAGGAGGAAACTACGACAATCGACCTTAAATAAAAACAAATAAGAGAATACCTATAAGGTCTTTCAGTGTCTCTCGACGGCACTGCGGGACAGTCCATAAATATCTTTAAACAAGGGCCCAAAGGTAGCGCTACTGGTGGTAATGTTTAATCATTCGCATCTATTTTTGTAAATCATTTAATCAATCGTTCGTATAGAAGATAGAGGTATTATTGGCGTAACGTCAATAAGCCAACCCATTCCGCCCAAGTTCCATCTGGTCCTATCGGAATTAATTCGTCGATTCCACCTAAACTCTATAGTGCCAACGACCAAGTCGTGATTAGCAGGGTGAGCAGAATGGGAGACGACGCGGTATTTCTTCGTCGGGCGGCCGCTGTTGTCGCCGTGTTGACCTTCTGTTGCTCTGAGTAGCCTTTTTTCGGCTCGAAGTCCTCGGGTCGACAAGAGGTATGCACCTGGTTGAAGCTTAGCTGTTCCTGGGCACGTTGCACTTCAAGGGCGTGTGCGACCGTCGTGTTGTGAAACTCTGATGGTTCTGAGCAGAACGTTGTATTGATCGCATGTGACATCTTAAGTACGGCCTGTATCCAGGCAAGCCGACAATCACAGGGGATGAAATTTCCTCGCAGCTGACGAACTTCGGGGCTAAGTCCGTCTAACGATCCCGGAACTAGATTAGTGATACGGTTATTAACCAGCTTCACTGATCGCACATTCCGTGTACCTGCAAACGTTGCTGCTTTGATTGTTTGAATTATGTTGCCCTCTAGCAAAATCGTATTTGCGTCCTTTAGACCCGTAAATGCGCCTGTAATCAAAGTAACAAAGAAGCAGCAAATTAGAGCAATAAGAATTTTGTTATGAAGTTAGAATTATCTGGTAAAAAAATTCATTAAAACGATAATAACCTTATACTATGCCAATACTAGCTTTATACAGCGGCAACTCAATAGAATGACACAACCTATCACTTACTAGTATGATTTATATGTACTCGTACACCATATACATTTCTCTATGGCTTTTCTATGTTTCTATACTATGCGCTCAAAGAACTGTATTGTAGGATAGCCTTGAGAAGAAAAGGAAGCGGTGTTTAGATCTTTTCCTCTTTTCACGCCTCTTTTCCTCTAATCAATCTACCCGAAAGTTCCAAGACCATTCGTCTCAGCTAACCATTTCTTTTGCGCCCACAACTGCCAAGTTTTTCCTCATCAAGAGCAGCGTAGCTAGAACAACACTGCAGGTTTGCAGGTAGGAGAAATTGGAAAGGGTAGCAAAATAACGCTCACCGTATGGCTGGCTTACGTCTGCGTTATCAGCCGTATTTTCGATATTAAATTTTTGTAGATTTTTAATACATGACCTACGGCGGATATAATTGACATAGTATCCCAATTGTCTGATTTCCGGTCTTTTATTTCGTCGCATTTTTGACAATACAAGCTTCCTTGTTACACACTACTTAGGGTTGGTTGCAACTTGCAAGCTCACGCACGTGCGCAAATCAGCGGCACAGCTGACAGCAACGCTACAAGAGGCCTCCGCTAATTCAGTCCAATATAAAATGTAGTAAAAGTTTGTGAGGGGGCATTATCGTGTTCTGTCTACAATGGATGTTCCTTGATGACACTAGCTTGGAGTAGCGGAGTTGACTTGCTATAAGTCTTTCGTTTATTACGCTAAAACAGTATAAAAAACAGACGAGGACAGAGCACAAGCGGAACGAGAAGAAGTGAGAGGTAAAGGAAAGGGACCGGTAACTATAAAAGGTCAAGGCAGGCCAAATTAAAAAACTGATGCAGAGAGAAAAGAGCAGATGTTCATCGAGTATGTCTTCATGCTTTTTTTTTATTACTTAAACCACAAACCAATTCTGCTCGACAGAGGGAAAAGAAAAAAAAATGAAAACGCAGCACTCCAACGGCCTCTTTTATTCCTTCTCGTGCAGGACTACTCGCAATTAACCAACAATTCCACCAGTGCTTGCGCCTTCTACGGCTTAGGAGCAAGAAGAACTTTATCCAGGAAACGTCGGACCTAGAAGTTAATCTAGGCAGTAGTTAGGCATAAGTTAAGGTCCATGAATACATGGGACCCCATGTTAGTGTTATGGACCTCGTCAGGTAAGTCACTAAATTTCTTGACGCATATTATCACCAGGATTGTATGGTGGCTTCCTATTTAGTAGCTTACCGTCGCTAGCCGAACATGGCATAAAAGGAGAGGAAGCATTTATAAGAGCTTCTGGATAAAAGTAGCTAGATCTATGTGTACACAAACGACGGTACAAGGATAGAAGGCAATCCGATAAGCGGACAAGAAAGTAGTAGCCCTCGCTGTCACAGCTTCCGCGGTCGTCATGTCCACAAACACTTTCGTGGTCCACACGGCCGTTTTCTACCCAGCTTTGTAGATAGTCACTCGATGCATGTGTACGGCTAAAGAGGCATATAGAGCAATAGAGCGATGAAACGAAAGATATATAGAACCAATATTTCGAAGAGGACGGATGTCGCAAGACAGAAGTGTTCAGCACTCACAGGGTCTTTCCAACGGGTAGAACGCACTGAGGGACCGTGTTTGTTTAAGCAGTGTATAAGGCTTTGACAGACGAGGACCCTTCAAACTCATAACTCCTTCCAGATGTCAAAAATAGCAGAATCAACCCTTTAAGTATCCGATGACAATCTGATACGGACACAGCGAGAGAAGTTTCGCTAAAATTCGAAATGAACGTTCCGTAACTGTCTTGAAAAAAGGCGGTATCATTTGTTTGCTTCATCATCACTTGACCTCATTTGAAATTTTCTTTGTAACTCTAAGCTGTTTACCATACTCGTACGATAAAAATCTATTAGAAACAAGTGCATCTTTTGCAAAAATCTGGCATTGCTTACGATAGCAAAAAGTGAATGTGCGTTACCTATGTATTTCAGATTTATTTGTAACGTCAATTACGATAGCACAAAAAGGCCGTTACACACAGTTTATTAATGCACTCACCAGAATTACCGATCAGAGATGGTATTTAATATCCTATAGCTAGAATAGGCCTGAAGTAGCAGAACCTGTCACCTGTAGAACAAGTTCCGAAAGTCACACTACGGTCATCGATTTCGTTTTTTTGCGTTCGGTGAAGGAAACGTATGGGATAACAGTGTTAACATACTACATTTATCACAACCTTTACTACTTTTGCAGTTGTTACCATTTGCTACCAATACAATAAGCTATAGCAATAATAATAGTAATAATAAGAGAAACTATAATAGAAAGCGGGAAACGGAAGGCTTTCAGGGCTGATGGGCAGGACTGACAGAGAGACTGAATGCGTGGGGAAATGCGCGCTCTAGAGGATACAGGCACAGGAGGGGCAATGGGGCCGATGAGGAGGAAGTTAGAGCCCAGTTGAGGGCTAGCCCTGCCAATACCGACCGTGGCGGCACTCTTTTTCACGAGAGAACGACACCCAGCAAGGGGGACTAATGAGCTATTGGAACAAGCCAGACATGTCATCAGTCATTCATAGTTTCCTCGTTTTATGCCTCGCACAGCGAAGGCATACAGACAGAATGAGACGCACATGGATATACACAGGAAACAGGCATGCAGTGACGCACACTCCACCACATGTCCTGCGTATTAGCGCCAGTCCCACGTGCCCGTTAGACTCTTTGGCTGTGTTCTACCGTCTCCCGGCATCCATTCGTCTTCACCTCGGGCGCCTTCATGTTTCGCAACAAAGCAGGACAGCTGAAACCAGCCGATGAAAACCGAAGGTCGTCTGTTGGCTAGGGTAGTATAGGGACGAACGGTTAAGAAAAAGGGTAGTCGAGATGCTGGCAGCAATAAAGAAACGACATAGACGGCTGAATAGTAGTAGTACAAAGTCACATTCATGGGCGAAGATGAGCTGGTGGAAGCTGTGAGCAAAAAGCAGAAGGCAGTGGCTACGAACTCAACAACGCAAGGGCTATTGCGAGTCGAGGAAACGAGCTATGGTGCTGTGATGTCAGTTGTCATGGCGTAGAGTGGAAACGTAGGTAAGCTGCGTTAGTTTAGGGAAATGTAGAACTTGCAATGCTGATTATTTATTTTTATTCCCATTTTGTGCCGCCCGTCATCAAGATGATTCAAGCAACGGTTAAAGAAAGGTATGATGACGAAGCTCTAATCGGAGCATAAATCGGATAAGAATTATGTTAAGGTTAATTTCACAAAAGCTCACCTGAAAAATAAGGGAAAGTCGCGTGATAAAAAATGCTCTATCTACTGTTAGCTTATAGTATAGTAAAGCGTGGAAAGCGGTTACTGAATCAAGCAAGTTAGAGTTTGTCATCGTTTTATTATTTAGGTTTGAAAGTAAATTATACCTTAACTGAGTCTAGTATATCGAAAATAGTCGACTAATGGCTAACCAGTTCCAATCTCTACCTGGTTCAGATGTAAGTAATTATGGTAGGTACCATGGTAGGCAAAAGACAGCTTTACTGATTCAATTTGGGCTTCTTTCGGAATGTCTCGCGTCGGATGAGCAACGATTGTCTTTATGTGTGAAACTATGGGTTTGTATGATGAGTGATCCAAAGATGTCTGGTGATTAAATGTCTGCACACCTGAATCAAAAACGCGTACGACTGAGTTACTGATAATGATGCGATCGACTTTGTTTAATCCTCGGAAAGCAAACTGTCCAATTGCATCGGATTTCATTTGGTCGAACGCTAATTCGGTGACATTTTCCAGGCCGTGGAACGCGTCTGCCTGAATTGTGTCTACACGCAGTGGCATATAAATTACGCCGACGTCGCGAATATCATTAAATGCCTTTGTCTTGATAATCACTAGAGGATTAGCATCCAACGAAATGTGCTCAATATCTCGCGAATCTGTAAATAATAGGTAAATATATATATATATATATATAGAGTAAATAATAGGTTCAGAGGTTGCAGAGATACACGAGATATTTCAGTGTTTTTTCTTGATAGTACCAGGATTCACGTTTGACGCCATCTTGGCGCTCCGTTAGGGTTCTGATAACATGAACGTACTGGTATGTTACACTAACTGTAGACACGATCACTAATTATATTAATACCTACCAGCAAATGCGTTTGCTTCAATACTCTGGATTCGGTTGTATCCCAAGTTAAGAAACTGGATATGTTGCAGCCCCGAAAAGCTATAACTGGCTAGCACGGTTAAAGGATTATTTTGCAGACTTAGCTCTTCCATATGCTTTAGGCCTCGGAACGCGTTCGGAGCTACTACCTGCAACAAATAAAGCAAGTCAGTGGGTCCCCTGCAACAACTTCGTAATCCGCATCGAATAAATGTGACGGCAAAGAAGAGAACGCATGATGAAGACACGTCACGAATATATAAACTATACTACCGGGCTACAGTCACTGGTGTAGCACGTGGTCAATGGCTTTTACAATAGAAGGCGTTTAGACGTGTTTGCCTTTCGTCTCTTAATGTCAGTAATAGCCGTTTTCTTTTCGCTCTTTAGCTTCTTTACGTTTAGTCAAAAGGATGCTATGTGATTAGGTATAGTCTTGCGCCAGCCAGTTTAGGCAAACAGAAAACCCCGGCGTGCCCAACTTAACGACCCTTCTGAGACCGCGCACTCGCCATAACACGCCGCTGTTTGGGACTATCATTACCATAGTTGACGTGCTGTAGGCGCTGAACATTACTCGTCTATGGCTTTCGACTGGTTTATGGTCATGTCCTGCGAGACACTCTGTTTGCCAAAGAGAATACAACATTCTTTCCCTTTCTCTCTCCCTCTCTCTGTACCTTCCTCTTCCAGTTTTCGTTCACTACTTTCACAAACACATGAGCCGCAAAAAACTAAAGGCCCGCTCGTGTTTCTCTGCATAAGGACCACCGTCCTATGCAGCTGGTCGCTAACTAAGCCGTCCTTGAGCTTGTACGCCTTTCTCTAAGTCCTGCCGTTGTCTATCCTCATATTCTCCCCGCATGTGTCTTATCCTGTTTTCTGTCTCACCGTAATCTGGTTGTTGTCAAGCAGAAGCTTTTTGAGGTGCCTGAAGTGCTTGAACGCGTCAGTTGGGATGAGCGAAATGCTGTTGCTCATCATCTGTATCTGCCGCGCATCCTTGGGTATATACTTGGTGGGGAGTGAGTTTAGTCCCGCTTCCTGGCACAGGATCTGTAAACATAGCAGAACAAGAAAAAATACAAAGTGAGGTGAGTATTCCACGAGTAATGAAGAAAACTTCATACGCTCGGAGATATGTGGGTCAATACGACTTCGACGAATGGTATCTAGCACCAACCGGCACGGTAATGAATGGATGGCATAGAGCTGTCCAATACCAACAGCGACAGTAAAGACAAAAGCGCCGACTCGTAACCCCGCCGACATCGCATATGATGAGTTCAGCACCTCTATTTCAACTTTAGCTAAAGTAAAAACACGGATAGGGAGAAATAATCTAACACGATCACGTTTGACTTCATTTACATATACTACGCTACAATTTCACCTATCATGAGAGCCAGGACAATTTATGTCTCTCGTTATTTCCTCATTTATGAAGGAGCACAGACAGTGTTGCAGAGGTATATATAACTAAGGTCTAGTAGCTTGCGTGCCTGCATCATACTACTAGCATTAATACATGGCGGTCGTACTAGCAGTAGTTGAACGACAAAGGAGGCCCATACATTTACATGGACACACCAGCCTCGGTGATCAGACATCGAAGAGAAGGTGAAACGAGGACTGATAAGAACATGCCCAAGATTGGATGAAAGATGACGACACCGACGATCAAAGCGACGGCGCGTGGCGGTCGGCGATTTGGAACATCGTTTGGTACGCGAGCCACATCACACTGTACGGTATAGCATACACGCTCTTTCTCTTTCATACACATACATGCACATATACACATATATGCTCAGGCTAGCGATCAGCGGGTGTGGGCTGCACACGCCTGATGGTCTATGTAAATTTAGTGTCGACATCAGCTCTCGCTTAGCGTAACGCAAGAAACTCAGCCTAGCATCGTAGAGAGATGCATTGTTCACTTGACAAAGGACGTAGGGAAACAAGCAGCAAGACCACGGTAGCATCGGTATAGGGTAACTGCGCATGTAGTCAAGAGACCGGCATGGAAAAGCAGCTGAAAGGACCTCATCAGGAAGTTTACTCAGACCACGAAGAAATTAACGCTTAGAAGGAGGAGAATGCGAACGAAGCAACTGCAGAAAGGAGCGTCAAGAGCAGAAGAACGACCGAAAGCGTGACCGGAGAGATTCCCAGGAGAAGTCTTACAGTTCGGAGAAATGCCTAAATATTATACCAGTTCCGCTTACCGGGTCTAGTTTACTTTCTTCCGTGATCTCACCGTCCTTGAACCTCCTCTGCTCTTTCACGTATCGTCCTGTATCCTTGGGCGAGTCAGCATTTCCCAATAATGAAAAACAGAAACATAATCTGCACCACCAGTGTACGATAGAAACGCGTATAACGTTGCCCTATAAGATACCCGGCGCACATTTTTCTCAGTAAACGTTTTATGCTGGCCACATAGACCATCATTCAGAGGTGGTAGGGGAGCTGCTCGATCATTCCCTCATCTGACTGAAGGAAGGCGCTAGTCAAGGAGACAGCACTTATTAAATGATGATTCTTTCTCGACTACTACAACTGCTGTTACTTTTGTGCAGATTTTACTTGTCCTGTTTTCTCCAACAGCGCACATACAAATAGTGAATGCTGAAGAAACATACGCACACAAAGAACGCTATACACGAAAGCAGTGGCTCGTAAAAAAATCAAAGCTCATATCGCCAAAGGCTTTTTATTCAAGTCCTCGGTTCGCTACCCGCTTACTATTATCACCGACCTCGTGCTATTTTTGCATCCACTATATCCCTAACCATGCTAGGTCCCCCCCCCCCAAAAAACCCTACAAGTTAAACTGCCCCCCTCACTTGCTCTATGGTGAGAGAAAGTATCAGCGGTGCCTACATTAGCATCTTGTGCCTTTGCGCTGTTAGTGTACAATCTCCTTTCGACCACTACCGCTTCGACGAGAGCACACTCGCGCACTTTGACCTAAAGAGCACATCGCCATTGTCAGTACGGCCAACGTTAGCCGAACGACGTTGAAGGGCAGACGAGTGGGACAAGACGATCTTTTCTTGCAAGTCTTGAATAACGTTGACGCCACTACTAGCATCATTCTTTAGTTCTTTTTGCTGCCGCTTTATTATCATCGACGCCGTTCCCGTGGTCGCTACTAACGTTCTCCTTCCTAGGATTCACTAAAACTGACGAAAACGGAAGGTCACAACTCCTCGAGTTTCTCCTTGCCCTTCCTAAGCACAACCAGACCGCAGTAGACACACTCGACTCACCGCCCCGTTTTCAAATACCCCTTTTGCCTCCCAGGCCCTCACTGACTACAACAACTTTGGACGCGACGAGGAAGGTCTTTGTCCTAAACTTGTTTAACTTGGCCACCAAGAAGCAGCCGTTCGCATCCGACCCGCCTTGGTTGAGTGAGTGTCAGAGGGCTGTACCTAAAAGGCAATACTCATCCGACCAAGGTAAAAGAGAGGACAGATCCACTCTGCCTTTGGCAATTGAGCCTTCGTGGCTCGAGGCCCCAAGCTAGTGCTCACCGTCTATCTTGTTTTCTCTCTAGCGACTAGCATTCAGTAGTTGAGTTCCTCACGTGAAACTTGCTTCCATGCATATTTTCAAATAAGAAGAGCACCGCTTTGGCTCCTTTGTAGTTCAAGGACGACGACGTTAACCTGTTGGTAATCAGTAATACTCCTAGCTAGCTCGTTCCCGACCAGTAAATAGTATTCGTTGCTGGCACGTAGCGAGCCTGACACGAGACGCGAACATTACGAATGATGGTGGTGCAGATTTTTAGACGGTTCTTATGAACTTAGTACTCAGATTACTCGACATAGCGCGAAAAACATACATATATGTATATATAGATGATTCATTTTCGGGATAACGTTTCCTATACATCAAACAGATGTGTGGATGCATCTTTTTATAGTTGTCAATAGAGATATTTCTGGGTATATTGAGGCAATCTTATTTATTTAAAGAATTAATGCGACCCGTTTTGTTTTATAATATTTAACTTAAGAGTGGTATTTTGCTACTTATTCATTTTAAAGTAAAATAATCCACCTTACGCAGCTAGCTATAATTCTAACAACGAAAAACAAAGTACCACAGTCTCTAGCCTTAATTTTCAGGTAGTGGATGAACTATTCTTTGAGGGGTCCGTTTTCTTTTTGTTTAACTAAATCTTGTCTCCGTTTTATCTGTACGCATTTTGATTTTTTTTATATTGATTGTTCTATAAGGCCTATGTATTGCAGGTCACTTTTTTACTTCTAGAGCAGAAGTCGAAGTCAGCTTTAGCCGATATTAAGTTGGAATTGCACGTTTGACGTTAAATGATTTCCAAATTTTATAGTCTTGGGCAATCTTTGATATTGACAGTAATAATACCGGTACCAGTCACGTTGTTCTTAATTCGGTTTCCATGAAATTAGCTCATATATA